GCTTCACTGGAGAACCCAGTTGAACACAGACCCAGTTCCTGTATGAGTAGATGAATAGACACTTTGGGGAATTTGTTTACTTTTTGTTGTAACTCGATTGATTCTGCATCTGGTTTGTTGGCTCCCAGTTCTTTGGATTTGAGCCATAAACCTGCCTGACAGACATCTGAACTACTGATCTTGGATTCAATGGCCTCTACAAGCCACAAGACTGACCTGTTGACCTTGAATTCATATTCCTGCATCCGCCAGTCTGTGGTCTTCCAGCTTCATCTTCCTGCTTCCTAATTCAACAACCCACTCAGCTATGCCAATTAGGAGAAACTTCCACCTTAACATATGCCCAGGGGTCTTGAACTGGACTGGACTTACCCACTTCTAAAATTGTGCAACCATTTTATCGATATAAATTTCTCTGTTTACCACAATTGTAAGGAACACATTTGTAAAGTGAGGTTCCAGCTTGTCTGCAGATGGTTGTTCGCTATTTTATGTAAATCAGACCTCACAGTGCAAACTGCCCTAATTGAATTAAGATAGGCGACTATAACAGGGTTGAATGGGCCCTGGGGTGGTAGAGGCCAAGTGGCAGCATAGAATACTCGCCGCCTGCGCTCCCAGGGCCCTTCCCTGGTGGCCGCGTGGTCCGGCTGCACCCGGTCATCTTAGCCTCCATCGTGGACAGCTACCAACGATGCAATGAGGGCGCTGCCCGAGTTATCGGGACCTGGCTGGGCACTGTCGACAAGCACTCAGTGGAAGTGATCAATTGCTTTTCAGTGCCTCACAATGAGTCTGAAGATAAGGTGGCCGTGGACATGGAATTTGCAAAGAACATGTATGAATTACACAAGAAAGTCTCTCCAAATGAGCTCATCCTAGGCTGGTACACTATAGGCCATGACATCACTGAGCGCTCAGTGCTGATCCATGAGTACTACAGCCGAGAGGCCCCCAACCCCATTCACCTCACTGTGGACACCAGCCTCCAGAACGGCCGCATGAGCATCAAGGCCTATATCAGCAATTTAATGGGTGTCCTTGGGAGGACCATGGGGGTGATGTTCACACCTCTGACCGTGAGGTATGCGTATTACGACACCGAACACATCGGAGTTGATCTGATTATGAAGACCTGCTTTAGCTCCAACCAGGTGATCGGGCTCTCAAGTGACTTGCAGCAAGTCGGAGGGGTGTCAGCCCGCGTCCAGGATGCGGTGTTGCAGTATGCAGAGTACGTGCTGTCTGGAAATGTGACAGCTGACAATACCGTGGGCCGCTTCTTGATGAGCCTGGTTAACCAAGTACCCAAAATCGTTCCCGATGACTTCGAGACCATGCTCAACAGCAACATCAACCACCTGCTGATGGTGACCTCCCTGGCCAACCTTACGCAGTCACAGATAACCCTCAACGAGAAACTTGTCAACCTGTGAACGAGTCCCAGGAAGCACTCCTGCACCGGCCCCGAGCTGGCGGAGAAATGGTATTTGTGTGTGTGTGGTTTTGAGTCACACTGAATAAACAGAGTCTACTGCCTTTTATAAACCAAAAAAAAAAAAAAAAGAATACACAGAGAGGAGGTGAACATGGATCCTGTAAGTAATGGACAGCAAAGTAGTAATCAGAATAGCCTGACTTGTATGGATTTATCCCATTGGCTACATAGGCAAGGGGCAATAGGAGTGAAATAAAGGGAGAGGCACTACATTTTTACTTGGTCTGTACACAGGGAAGAATTTTAAATCAGGTCAGCAATAGACTAATTCTAATCACCAGAACACAAATTCATGACCTGTCTGTCATTTAATTCCCAGTCTTTATGCAGCTTTACAGACTGTGTAACATACGTTACTAATAATCGTAACATTTTCTAAATTGTCTTTTGTGTTTGTAAACGTTCTCTGAGTTACGTTGTGGTGACCAACAAAGCTAAAAACAACTACAAAAGTTTCCAATGTGTCCACTTACTACTCGATTTTACATTTTTATCCAATCTAGGACCCAACTTCGAGAGTAGATATTAGTGAAGCTGAATCACACACAAACACATAAAATAATTTAATAAAGCATTTAAAAACTAATCTCATGTGTTCTATTTCTGTTCTAATTCCATGGAAACAAACAACTTATGTAAAATGAACCAGGACAGAATGCTTATACATCAAATTCAAATAATTCTGAGTGAGAATAGAGTAAACCATAGTTCTCCAATTGATCAGAAATATTGACTTTTCTCTATTAACATATTAAATGCATTTACTCACAAAGAAGGCATACAAGCACAACATTCGTTTAATCATAAAACTACAGTGAAAGATGGGAGATGCAGATATTAAAATTAATTATCCTTTTAAGTTAAAAAGTTGAATTGGAATACACAAAATTCATGTAGCAAAATGTGTTTGAAATTTCACTGAGCTTTATGTAACACAACCTGCACACGCACACACATAGAGACACACACACATTTGAGATAGGCTTCATTATCCATTGATTACAGATACATTGAGATTATCTGCATTCTTTTAATGTATACATGCCCTTATTATTTTTACATGAAGCTTTGTGTTTGACAGAAATATTTCCTAGGTCATTTTAAGAAATTGAAGAATGATGCAGACTCATTTCTTCTTTGACTTTACAATGAGTCTATATGTCTCTGCGGCCAATTATGTCGTCTAAAATTTTATCTTTTCCTTGTAGGTGGTGTGAAATCATTCATTTTTCCAAGTTGCAAATTCAAAGATTTTAGATTTTTTTACTCTCTTTTATTTGTGATTACAAACTGGGTCAATGTTTTGAGCTCATCTACTTGTTATTGTTCTATAAAACAAAGCCAATGGCCTTAGACTCACACACTCCTATTGGAACTAACACACAGTCAGTACACTCTCGCTTCTAAGTGACCACAGGCAAGTTTTATTAAATATTACACACAGCAAACTTGGTATTTCTTCAGAATATAATATCAACTTTCTCACTGCATAACCATATTTTTCTGTATATATTATTTTCACTTTTATTAGTTAGATTTTTGAACATTTAAGGAAAATGAAGCCATTTAATTCACATAATTTTTCAACTTAATTTGTAAAGTGGTGCTAATAGTTATCTGTCTTATTTATAAGTTTATTTAGTAACATACCAACTTTTGAAAAATTTTTCTACATGATTGATAACATTATATTATATTCCCTTAGATTTTATGTATATAAATAAATATAGGTATATCAGTGTATAGTTGTAAAAATATCATTCCCATGGAGTCAACTCTGACTCACAGTGACCATATACTATGGAGGAGAACTTCCTCATCCACTTACCATGGCTGTAATCACTATGCAAACAGAAAGAAACCTTCTTCTCCCACTGAGTTTTCATTACTTGTTGGTGTCTTGAACCACTGCACTGTCTATGGGCTTTCCTTAGAACTCATAAGGATGAAAAAGTTATCCTTCCTCTTAAAATAGTGTGCACGACTAGAATATATAACTTACAAGTCTAGGTAGCTATAAGTCCATAAGAAACATATTTTTCTTAAATTAGTTAATTTTACCTTATTGAACAGGTGGTATATTGAAACAAAATCTCAAAGGAAAATAATACCTTATGCTCTGAGAGCTGGAGATTATTAGTAAGTAGATAAACATCTATTGATAACTTATGTCGCATTTGATATTTAAAAGTGGTAATGATATGCTTTGGTGGTAGGGTGCTACACTGTAAAGTGAAAAACACAACTGTTTTATCAGTTTTATATTATATTAGCTGTTTTATATTTATTTGCAACTTAATTTTATTAACAAGAGGTTTTCTCCTGAAATAAAAAAGAGAAAACATTTTATTTGTAATACATAAAATGAATAAGTTAAAAAGAAACCATGGGAAAATATGAGTGGGATATGTTTAAGTGCTTTATTAAACAGTAACAAATATAGATACTTTTTATATTTGCAAATTTTAATTAAATATTGCTTACTCTGCACCTCTGTCAAAATTCAATAAAATAAGCTCCTCGAAATATCCTTTTACAGGAAATATTATAAAGGATTATTGTATTAGGCAGGGCTCTCACAGTATGCCTACTTATCTCAATTATTACCAAATTCTGGTTCTTATATGTTTAAGAATTTTCCAAACAAAGCACATTCAATCATATCTCTACAATGGGTGCATGGCTGAAAGCAAATTTTCTCATTAAGACACTGCCTTCTTTTTCACTAGGGTGCCTTCAAAAGGAAAATTGATATTTTTGCATGTGTCATAAAAATAATTTTTCAGGTAAAGAATAATATCAAAATTTTAACAAAACTCAAATGGGCATCTGTCACATCAGCAAAGTTTGGAAACAATGTTTTTCAGGCATGCTGTGTCCCACATGATACAAGAGTTCCCCGATGAGGCAAGCATTTGAAGGGAGGTTTGGAAGGCCTCACAAAGGATGAAGTGGGGGAAAGACCCTCAGAGTCAAGAAACTGTGGCTCAAGTCTGGAAACTGCAGAAAGAAGGTTTTAGGCATCGCTTTGATGAGGTAGCAACCCAAGTTGTGTTTCACATAATTTAACATTATCAATTTTAAGAGAAAATCTTAGCAATCTTTTTTCTGATGGATGACAAAGACCAGTCAGCCCAGGGACCGACTTTCATCAGTATTTGAAGCAGATCAAAACTAAAGAAGAGTTTTTTTATGGAATGTCCCATAACCAGGAACAAATGCTGAATTTGACCAAGATGATTCAGAGAAGGAAGTCAAGTCTAAATACTAGCTTCAGAGGGAGTTTGCTGGACCATTTAAATTAAAGGAGGAGAGGTCAGCTCAGAAATTACGGGATTATTCTTTTAAAATTCCAGAGGGATATTTTTTATAGCTTTTCCCGAGGAGCATCCGATGATAATGGGCATTTACTCTAGGAAAAAAAAATGAAATGGAAGACGGCCTTAACGAGAACTTGGCCAGGACGTTTGTTCCAAGGTCATTTTCCCTCATGTACTTGCTCATTCTTCTACGACAATTTTACCGTAAAACTTACCACGGCCATCTTAATGCCCTCATCTTGCCCCTTTAGATTTCTCTTGTTCCTCAAACCCAAATAACATTGAAAGGGAAAGCGATCATGGGGGTGTTAAAACTGCCATTTAGGCATGCATAAACCCAGTCATACAGAATTCTTCAGAGAAGATATTGAGAGATAGAAATACCACCTTCAGCACTATATTGCTAGAAACTGAAAATATCTCAAAATATGTTCATATTTTTATTTAATAAAGATTTATATGATTTTGTTGCAATCATGTTTTACTTATAATACACTTATGGTCATAAACCTATATTAGTATCCAGTATCTAAGTACTGATAATCCATTTACTTTTTATTTCTTTTAATTTTTTACAATGAGCACATGTAGTACATTTCTGTCAAATATATATTATATATATATGCATGAATTCTAAATCATATGCCATGTATGTATATATTCAACTTAAGTTGTAATGAACACAATTTCAAAATGTTATTTCAATTTGCAGTTTTAGAAAGGCATAGGGAATTTTTACTTATTTTGAACAATTTTATAGAAAACTTTGGATCCCTTGGAAAAACAGACGGTAGGATAAGATTGAGATTGGTGTGCAGGAACTGTTGTAATCAATATACATTGGAAAGGAATGAAAGCAGAGCAAGAATTTGAGCAGCAGGCACAGCAAAGACCTCAACTAATCTTATTGCGTGAGAGTTTTGTCTCCAGGAAGACCCTTAAGAGTAATTCTCATTTGGGCCAAACAGTCCCAGTCTTTGAAACTTGGTGGCATGTGTAGGATGTATCTCTTTAGCAAAAACAAAATCCCATGTGTGACGTTTGTTCTGAATTGTTGATCAAAAACCATAATAAGAAGTAGAGGCATAATCAGTTTGGCAGATCATTGGAGCCAGAGTTCACCACTAATACATTTCAAATTGCTGCTCAGATTCAGTAGTTTCAAAGGGAAATTTCCAGGAACAATCTGGACAATTCTCTTTTCCTAGGATTCTTTCAAGAAGAATAGGAATAAGATAATCTTAAGTGTATAACTTGCAGATGCTTACAAAGCTATCTATAATACTCATTTTCCAGATTTTCCACAACTCATTTTAGAATTCAATTATCTTCAGCTAGTACCTCTGATGCTGTAGGTTAATTACTTTTTAAACCACACTCTCATCTCCAAAATACTGGATCCACAGATCAGACATTTTCTTAAGTTTTTCTTGAACCATGGCTTCGGCACTTGTTTGTTTTCCATGAATATTTGTTGAAGAATTACCAAAAGAAGGCTAATCATTCACTTTGTTTTAAAAATGTGTTTTTCACTTGGCTATTAGGTAACATTTCACTAGAAACTCAGTTCATGCTGACTCATAGTGGCCCACTGTGGATTTCTGAGAGTGTAGTTGTT